ATTTGATTTGGCCCTCGTAGTTTTACACGTTTTTTTTTTGGTGTTTTTTTATTTTAATCTGTACCAGTTGAAGTTGTAAATAATAGCTGTTCACCTTTTAAAAGTATCTTATATGACCTCATATTTGAGGCAGGCAGAGATATTTATTGCTTTCTCAGGCTGAAATGTTCCTACTTTTCCAGAAGAAAGGCATAGTTATGTCTACTATATCATGTGGTATGACCACCAGATAAACTCCAAAGCTAAGTAGTGGGACATTGTAATGATATCCTGTGAGGAGAGATGAATTTAGTGAGCCTAACAGAAGCCAGAATGAATGGTTCTCATGACTCCCGCTCTTTTTCTTTTACGAGGAACATGCAGCAGTCTGGACAAGGGGTTCTCATTAGTTAATCTCAGTTTGAGGGCATTTAACATGTATTAATGCATCTGGGTATGCATGCATGTGAGTCTGTGTGTGCTTTAGCTTTCTTGGAGGGGTGGGGTTTTGATTGTGTGTACATTTGCTAATGTATGTGCAGTCTTCTGTGTATATTAGTATGTGTATTACTCTTTTAATCCTTCTATAATTTTGCTGTGATCATCACTAGTATTTGTAATTATTATCTATTAAATAATAATAATTGTTCAATGCTTGTGTGCACTAATTTAACAGTGTGCACATGGTTCTCTTCATGTATGCACCAGTGTTTTGGCAGGGGAAAGGTTAATGTTTAACAGCATGAGTGGTTCACCCACTAACGTGTGAACAAAGCACAATGGCTGCACTGTATAGGCTCCTATTTATTCAGAGTCACTTCCTCCCTTAATAGTCGGCTCTACTTTCCTCACAGAGGGAAAAAGTAGGTCAAGGAAAAGTCATGTTTGAGGTAATTCACTCTAGGGGACCGCTACTCTGATCATTAGATGACATTGGTTAACCTCGAGAGTGAGGTCATATTCAAGTCAAAGTTACGCCCAGGATCCGACTGGTAGCGTGTCTTTGCATTTTGCAGTACACAGGTGGTAAATCAGAGAGGAAGGATATCAATGGTAAGTTTGAAAAGAGAGAGGCATGAAAAGACTATTGTTCATGATGAAGATAAAGAAAAGCTGAAGGAGAAAAAATAGGAAGGAGGCTGGTTTGTGGCCTTATGGATCTTGATCAAAGATTGGTTTGCTGCCCTACTCTGAAGGAGCACGCTCTTATGGAGTTTCTGCTTTGATGCATGTGAACAAAAGATCCACAGCGAAGAATCACACGGATAGTTCATTCTTGAGCTTCATGCACAAAGACCTGAACAAGAGAGGAATGCAAACCCGTTGTTCCCTCACCTACTGCAATTACTTGTGATGAGTGCATTGAGGATTAAGCAGGATATTTGCAGACTCTTTGGATTAAGCATGATTTGATCCATGCAGATCTGTGGAAAACCTTTTCATCAAGACCTATTGCTTTCATGTCCAGGCATTTATTTCTGCCCCCCTTTCTCTGCAACAGTCACCTCGGATTTTCCTTTCACATTCCAGTCATCATTTACCAGATTGTCCCAATGAATTATGCACAGAGAGTCCTTAAGAGCAGACATATTATTTATAATTGTGCAAGTAGATTTTTTTTTTGTCTTGGCCACTTCTATTAATACCATATGTACCTGCTATCACACGTGCAATGCAATACATCTGGACTTGTCTATTAAAGAATCACTTTTTTTCACATTATTCACTTTATGAGCCTGTATGTTGGAGCCCACAGTAATGGGGATGTAATTAAAAAATGTCATTGTGATGGAGGGCCGAGCTTTAATGGCATGAAACATATCGGCTTGTTTCCTCCTGAACAAGCAAATGGATATAAAAACAGTCACTCAAACCTAGAGTGTTGCCTCTACTTGCACCAAAGATTAAAAGAGCAATCAGCCATTTATTTCAGTACTTTCTGCAAAGAAATCAAATAAATATTGACTTCCGGGGCAAAAAATTAGGTTGATTAATTCGATTTATATGATCATGTCGTTAGTAACCCTGTTAAGAGGGTGTAGTCCTGAACCACAAAATAAAGCTTTTAAGGATGTTTTATACTCCAGTGCTACATATGTCTACTTTATATCCTCAAGGAGTGCATGTATTATTTTTCAATAAGTTTGATTTGTCCGAAGATGGTGGCCCTTACTTGGTTTGTATTTAGATAGATAGATAAAACAACAGACTAACGGTGTTATAGTTTTGTGATTTTGATTGATTTTGGCAGAGAAACTTGAGGCCAAACTCTTCTCAAAGCCCGTTCATTGAGAAGTCATGACTGTCATTCAATCTGTTCCCACCTGGCTCACCACCAAACCAAAATGAAAACATCAAAGTGATATCTGTAATCTGAAGTAATTGTTTCATTAAGTGTCATCGTTGTTTCATCTATTTAGACTATGTGATCGACAGAATCCGTGGGGATGCCAGCAGAGTAAGTGCGGATGTCAAGTTACATCTTGATTAAAATGCTGTTTTTTATTGGATCAAAGAGGGGTTGGATGCCTATCAACAAAAAAAAAGAGCACAAAATGAAAAGGCACTCCAAAAAGAAGGTTCACTGATGCCACACATTTTTGCATAGCTAGATTTATATTATCTCATGGGAAGGCGTCTCTTTTAAGGACCCTTTAAGGACATTTTGTGTGTCATGTTACGCATTTTAAGCTTTTTGCAGGCAATTTAACGCTTTTCTCATTCCCAACTCATCGGGTGAGACCAGGCTGAACACATTGCAAAGTCCATGAGCCTTTTCTCATATAACATTTAAAGTGAAGATATATACTGTTTGAAAATATGAACAATAATGCATGAATCTAAATATAACTCGCTCTACACTACAATAAAAAAATACATTTGAGCCAGCTTTTGTCTACCCCTGTCTGAAATCAAGAATACATTATTTCAAAAGTCACTAAGAATTGTGGGTGTTGAATCTGCCACCTCAGTCAAATTGGTACTGGTTTTAAATGATATAACACTGAGAAACAGACAGTACCCTGCTGAAGTTGGTTTGCTCACTCATTTTCGGTGACCACTCCTGAAGACAGATTTGTTGTCTTTGGAACCTGTACTGAGAGACTCAGAGTTGCTGTGGAACCGTTATTTGACATTATACAGGGTGAGAACATGGCACAAACTTAACCTGCCTGTGTTTTTGTTTCTATTGTAAGCAGAAAAACAAACTCAGAATGAATCAGCCTCAGGGTATGAATCACCTTACATCAAATTTATGACAAAATAAAGAGTAATTAAGATAAAAATGTGTTCCTAATATAAATGTGTCTAACAAGTTGCACTGGGGAAATAGTTACTCATCCGTTTAATACACTTATACAACAAACCTCCAGCAGCATGCTCCTTCTCCTGAGTGCATTAAACGCCCGCTGGTTCCTTCGACAGCGAGACATATTGGATCGGTTTATGCATACTGAATGATCATCAGTGCTACAAAAATAAATACTGCTTAAACTAATTGGAATAGCCTGGGGATGGGATACATTTATCAGTGTAATCTCTGACACAGAAACAGAAACACAGGTAGCCTAGCTTCACTAAAAGTGCATTCCACCTTCCAAATAGAAAATTGTCTCAAATACTCTGTTTGCACATCTGACATGCAAAGAAAACAAATTGTAGTTTAAAAAAAAATGAGGAAACCGTTTAAATCCTACATTTAAAATTCTGCAGACTTTCATAACTCTGGACGAAACCCAACTGACGCTTGGTTACCAATGTGCTAGCTAACAAGTTGACAAAAGGCGTAATGTTTCACATATGTCGAAGAGTAGCTGTCCACCTAAACCCATTGCTTGTGCTAAGCTAGGCTAAACATTGCATTGAAAATAGTATTTGTGTTCTGAAATTGTCTCGGCCGTGTTGAAATACTGATGAATTCATGAGAATTGTACTAAAAGGTTAGTTATTATGGAAATCGTTGATGCTACTTTCTATTGATTTTGATTGCTTAAAACGTAAAAATGTTAATATCTTTCTTCTCACGTACTTGTATTTAAATCATTTTGACCCGATGAATTGAAAACAGTCCTGCAATCAGCAAGGCTTCACGGTGTTGTCATCGAAGTGGTTTTGAGGCTCAGGTGGAAGCATCCCGGCAGTTTTTCCTCCTGAAGGTGAAGAATCCTGATGTGACCCAGGGGGGCTCAGTGACGAGCTTGGTTGCAGTGATTTAATCCTGCAGCCACTGGTCCCAGTGGGCCCTAATGGCTTTATGAGAGGAGCTTGGTGAAACCCATCAGGCAGTGTTCCCTTTGAAGTACTGAGCTAATATTTTAGAATTGTAGAGTGGTGACAACAACACGCAGTTAAACACAGGCGATAGGCTGTACATACAAATAAGGCAATATACACATTAAGGGCCCAGTGTTTAAGATTGTGTGATATCTAGTGGTGTGTAGCAGACTGCAACCAACTAAACACTGTTTAAAAAAAAAAGCTCTTACTCTTGTAAACATGGCAGCAGTGGATGAGACTGCGGATAGAGCCGATTGAGTTACGTTTCCCTTTCAATTACATCTGTGTAATTACTTCCGTGCTTGTTGCAGATGTATTGATACAGTTTTGGCTTTTTACAGGCAAATATTTTATTGCACGTACAGTATAGGCGTAGTTTCTGTCAACTCAAGTATTCACTTCACCTGGTTCACTTCACCACAGCGGCCTCTTGGCTCTCACTTCCTGTGTGTGTTTGAGTCTATGTGTGTGTGTGTGCAGTTGGAGAAGCTCAGCCCGACAGAGAGAGCAGAGCAGATGTGAGCTGCAGCGTGATATTAAATTACATTAAAACATTAAAAAAATACTAACAAACACCAGTAACGTCGGGGATTATCAATACTCATAATAAAATCATGAGATAAATGCCAAACCAAGGCCTCGTCAGTAAAATGATGCACCTGGGTTTTAATGTATTCAATCCGAACCAATGAAACAGCTACAGTACATGCAAAGCACAAAACACAATCTGATTTCTGTTTTAGGAGTGCAAGATTCCCATCAGGAGAAGATCATTACAGTGTCTGGAGAGGGAATGGTTCACAGCCCAGACTTCCCCTACACTTATCCCAGGAATACTGTGTTGGTCTGGAGACTGGTGGCGACCAACAACATGAGGATCCAGCTCACCTTTGATGAGAGATTTGGTCTGGAGGACCCAGAAGATGGCATATGCAAGTAAGAATATGTCTTACTATCTCTATGCTAACATCCTGATTATTAGCAACATATGAAGTTCCTGTCATTTTATTACTGTCCTTGAACCTTGGCTGGTTTTCTGGGCCTATTGTGTGCTAAAGGGTTAACATGCACTAAATACGTTGGGACGCATGGGGCATTTTCCTGCCAGGGTCCTTATCACTGATTTGACAAATGTGCCAACCTCCAAAAAGCTCAGTGTATTGTTTAAATGGTTTATGGATGTCATTCTAAATGAAAATGTTCTTTGTTTAACTTGATGAGTGATCTCCTTTAGAAGATAGGGAAGATATAGGCTTCACAGGTTGACAGGCCATATAAATGTGGGGCCGTGGTTAAAACGTGTCCTCCCCGTGTTGTCGACCACCTTTAAAGATTTACAATGTGTCCATTTGTGAAATTGCCTTTTGGTCTGCCGTAGCAGCTATTGAACATTGAAAACTAAGCAGCAGAGTGATTTGTTTCGCCCAAGACATGGTCATGATGACATGGTTCAGACTGGCATATTTTACCTGGTGTAGTCGATACTTTTAGCTCCTCATGTGATTGTTCGAAAGACAGGCAACACACCTTCTGACTAGCAACACATACATACAATGCATCCTCTGCTTTATTGAGGAGCCCACTTTCAATTACTGTCTGGGTTTGCCTCTGTTGCCATTCAATTTAAACAGGGATTCCGAGCCCCGACGATTAATTTACCCTCAGTGCATTATGTGCAGTGCCCTGCCGTCAATATATCACAACTGGATGAGCCCAATCACTGGAAGGTGGAGAATCGCTGGGGGAGGGTGACCTCGCTAGTCATTCCTGGAGAGCCCCCTAATGGATGACAGGGTGAATGACAGTGCAAAGTTGTATGTTGGATACAGATTAACATGCATCTTTTGAGAAATCAACTGTACATATCAGATAATTAAAAGAGGATGTGAATCAGTATGCATCCACTTTCACTGATCAATGAGGTGTTTGTGATTTTGACTCAGATTTTGGTCCAGAATCTGGTTAAAGATGGATTTGGATTTAACTGTCTAAGGTGCTGCCATTCAGGATACATGACTCTGTTTGACAATATACTTCCTGTATCCTGCTTTTGTAAAAAAAAACAGTATGTGAGTGCAGGTAATCTGAGCCCCTCAGGACACTACTGTGCATGTTGACAAATGAGGTTAGTGTTTCTGTTGAAACCCCAAGAGGGACGGTTCGAGAGTGGGGCAGGACGCGGATTGACAACTTTTGTGCTGTCCTGCCTGTACAAGACTGCACTAGTCAGCGTCCTCAGGGAGAGGGGCGAGAGACAATGACAACATCCTTTTCAAGGGTCATGCAAGGCATCGCCACGTCTACTGCTCCCACCTTCACATTTTTCACTCCTTCCCCAGAATGAGGCCCAAAAGGTGTTGATCGGATCCCAAGATACACACTCTTGGCAGGGTTGGCAGAGGGATGAATGAAGCATGCAATCACAAGCAGGAACAGACATACAAGTGTATGTACTTGTCTTTCCTCTCACCCTCTCTCCCTCTTTCTCTCTCAAACACACATTTTCTGTCCCACATGCACACTTTCACATGCACTAGCCTCTGGCCAAGTCTTCATATCTAGTTTATCTTTCATGTGTGTTTAAAAATGGATTCACAAAATGCCCCCTTTGAACTTCATTCCACTGTTATGGCAAAAAAAAAAAAAAACGTATTGATACGCTGCTCTTACCCTTGTGTCACCGCACAATGTGATGCAAATAAACGTGACTGGTAATCTCCTGTCCACTGATTCACAGCAACGGCAGGGGATAAAACAAACAACGGTAGGAGATGTGTTCGGCTTTGGTAGCAAGCCTGGAGCCTTTGCTAAGATGAGAGGGAAGCTGTGTAGCCGAGATGCTCATCTGCTATTCTGTTTGTCTGTGGTGCCATGAAAAGCATTCTTACCAAATCCACTGGAGGAGAGGCATATTGGAGAGGGATTGGTCTTGCTGCTGGTTGGCATGGCAGCAGAGTCGTGCTCGACGGCTCACAGACAGGACTGTTCTCAGAGAGGCATCTCTGCTCTCTGCCTTTAGTCTAAAAGGAGAGGACTAAGAAACAGTGTTTGTGTTGCTAAACTGCGTCATGGCCGTGGCGTATTTATTAATAATGTACAAGGAAAACCACTTTGTAGGAGAAAGCTTTGTGAATATTAAACATTCCCTGCATTGTGCATGAAGGCAATCCTATCTGCTGGTACTGTGCATAAGATTCCTTTGTCGTTCTGATCCTCTTCACCGTGACTGTACGTACAGTTTGGTATGTATGTCAGAGCATTTGTAAATCTGGGAAACCGCTGTTTGACATGGTGATTCTGAACACATGGTGATATGTAATGATCAGGGCGTCCTGCATTATTGATGAGCCATCTGTCAAAGCTCTGGAGCTGTCTGAGGGCGGATTTTCAGAGAGGAAGGCTTCTCTCTTCACCGACCTCCATCGAGCAGGCAGAGAGAAGCGAAACTGATATTTTATCCCTCTCCAAAAAACATTTCATGCCAGTCTGGTTTGCACTCACTCAAAGAAATGTTTAACAGTTCATGCAGTTGTCTGACATTGGTACACTTAAACTGAATAAATGGTTTTGCAAAAGCACACTTTCAGTTTTACCTTACCCAATATGTTTGTTTGTGCAGATTACAAACTTCCTGTATAACTTTCTAAATCAAAGGCAGCAGAGTCAGTGAATTTATTGACCCCCCCCCCCCCTTCAGTTTATTTAACATCACAGAAAATCCATTTTTAGTCTCGCTCATGTCCCTCCATGTTGTTTTATTGAAACTAGCTTGAACTGAATCTGTCAAGCCTGTGCAAAATGTAAACAATGTCGTCGGAATCCAAATATCCGAATTGGCAGCACTGAATGAGAGGTTAGTGTGCCTGTTGACGCAAATGGCAAAGTGATTAATCCCAGACTGCGAAGAGTCAGTGAAACAAGGCTGTATTGAATGCAGTGCAGCCACTGGTTACACACAGGTATAAATAATAAAAGCTGAACTCCTGAACTGCGTGTCTTAAGTGCTGGGGTTGGTTGATGTTAGCCTTGGCACACCAAAGGAGTCTGGAGCGTGGCCATATGCTTCTGCACTTCATGTTTACTGGTATTATGGGTTGGCAGGGTGGCCGGTGCAGAGAGAGACTGTCACGTAACTACAGGGTCACAAAGTTTGATCCCCACAACAAGCAAAATGCTGATTTTGTTTATATTTTACTAAATTGTAGTTTATATCATAATTTTCTTCTGTGAAATGACACTAAATTCAATGAAACTATTTAAACCCATAAAACCCATCATGTTAAATATCTTTTAAAAATGCATGTGATTTCCTCATACAATATTACACAAGGTTATGTGAGAGTTGCTGACGCTGAAAATAGAAATACAACTCTGAATACTCAATATGACAAAGGTTAGTAGATCCACATTATTGAAGAATTATTTTGAAAAATATATTCATGGAGCTTTGCATTCTGTACCTTTTTCATATTAATGTCCAAAAATAGTTTATCCAGCACACACCAGCAATCATGTAAATTTCATGATTTACAAGTGAGTTTTCAAACAACTGAGTCCAAGTCAAGAGGCCTGCAGTCTCCCACAATCCACACACAGTACCGTGTAATAAGCGCAAGGTTTAATTAAAACTATTTCATTGACAACACGTAGCATCGGTGTAATAGGCATGTAAAAAGGCTGCATCAGCAGCAATAACAGCTAAATAGTGCGAACAGCTGCTCATGCTGCACTGTCAACCAACCTGAGATTTGTCCTCAATACACTGGCAATCCTTTGTTCATTTTTTCTTTTTTTAATTCAGGCAGTAAATAAGAAACAAATCTCATCTCTCACAGCTGGGCTATTGTAACCTTTTTTTTTTTTTTTTCAAAAGAGGTTAAACCTTTATTTCCCTTGGCAGCTTTATTGATATTAACGATCTCACATTCAGAAGGGCAAGGCAGAGCTGAGGAGAAAGCACCATGGCCAATATTAAAGGTGCTGACGAGCTTACGACAATCAAAAAATACAATTAAAGTTAGCATGCATGTCAAGAGATCTAAATGTACCATGTGAAACCTCAAACAAAGCCAATAGTAGCTGAAACCTGTGTTATAACTTGGAAAAAAACAATGTCATGAATAATCAATCACCGTCTCAGAGTGGGCCCATAACCAGTGATGTCTTAGAGACAAACATTAACAGTTTCTGCACTATGTCTCATTCACTCTACCAGGTACGACTTTGTGGAGATAGAGGATCCGACTGAGAACACCATCCTGGGTCGCTGGTGTGGGTCACAGTCGGCACCAGCTAGTCACACTTCTAAAGGCAGTCAGATCAGGATCCGCTTCATCTCTGATGAGTACTTCCCCTCTGAGCCGGGATTCTGCATCCACTACTCCATTCTCCCTGTGGTACGTACAGTGTCAATAGTCAGGAGTTGTGCATTGTAAGTTGTGGCTGTCATAGCATTTCTCTGCCTCTATCTCCAAACTTGCACCCACATGGCAGTAACCGATGCCTCTCCATGCAAGCACAATTAAGATAATTTGCTTGTTACATAACACAGTCTTAATTTGCAATCATCCTTTTCTGCTTATGTGTTCCCAAGGGGAAAAATTATGTTGAAGCACTTCAGAGCATCTGGCACATGTACTATCTTTTATTTTATGATGTTATGATGTACACTTATACACAAACAAAACTAAATGTCCACAATGTCTGCAATGAGAGAGAATATAGCAATACCATAAGTTTTCCTTCAAGGATTGAAATGGGAATTTTTTGTGATGGACCCTGGAAAAGTTCTAAAACATTAGAAAGCACACAACAAATCGAAATAAATTAACTGTAAACGGTTTCAAACTCTGTCATTTTCTCATTTGCTGGGGCTAGTATTGTTTCCACTTTTAAATCGTCAAACTGTTATGTTCTGTATCACCCGTATATATAAAACCATGAACCCTGTTAACCTGCTCTGTATCTGTAGATCCAGTCAGACAGACGAGGTGTCTCAATGTCATTGTTTCTTGAGATTGAGATGGAGAAAATAAGTGGCGTCACATTCACAAAGAGGTCCTCTGACCCGCGGGGGGATTCATTCAAGCCCCTGAAATGAAAGTAGGAATTAAGAGATAGAAGTGCTTTTTGTGTGAAAAATTGTCATGTTCTCTTTGCTCAAAACAACCTATCCTCCTTTCTGTTCTTCAACATTATTTATCTTGTCTTCACGAGTAACATAGACTTTAATCACTAGTTCCATCCCTTGCTAATCTTTGGCAGATATTTATCCATCCAAGTGTGTGCATAGCATAAGCTTGAACTCATTCAGTACATCGCAAGCTTTGCTAAAGACCAGTAAAGAGCTCAAGACTCAAGCAACAACTGCAGCAAAAGTAGCAATATTTGTCAGAGTATTCTGTGAGAACAAAAAGTGAATGGCAAAGAGGGGCATTCTTATCAGCTTCTTCCTTTTCACGCCTCATGACCTCTCATTGACTTCAGTCAAACATCAGCCCGATAATCAAAGTGAATTGCCAGTTTGTTATACTTCATGCATTCAGCCCAGGGGCGGACTGGCCATCAGGAAGATGTGAAGTCTCCTGAACGGCCGATTCATTCCGGGCTGAGTTTTTATTTTTCTATTTATGATGTCAGTAGTTACTGAATGGTCATCGGACGTGACATGGGCCAGCCCGGTCCTCGCAGTTGCAGTCAGCACAGATTGGAAAGCTGCCTGTCAGACTGGGCTAATATAACTCCTCCAATATTGAGAAAGGATACGAGCGGCCCCTCCCAATTTGGAGAAATCCTGGTTTTTGATTCAGTGCAGTGGTGACATGCTTATAGGCCTACAAACTGAGGAGGTCAGCAAGACATCCTAGAGTGTCTTAAAAATCTTCATCAGCTTCTCTTCATACCACAAAAAAAGGTATTTAGTGTTCCGGGCACTCGCATAGAACATCGCAAAGTCCCTGAACTAGCTTAACTTTGTGTTTGTGTTTTCTGGTTTCTTTTTGGGAGGAAGGGGGTTATTTTGTTCAGTTTTGTCACGAGTAATGTATCCATCTAGCTGATCATATTTTCAGTTGCTACATCCAGTTTATCAAAATGATAAGAGAAAAATGCCATATCAGAAGTTATTTATGTTGGTCAATCTACAAAACGTGTTTCATTGCTACTTAAGTAGCTAGCTCTGTGGGAAGAAAACATCATCATGCTTATTTGTGTCAACAAATCTCTTCTATTATCTTACCTGTTTTTCAAGGTAAACATCTATGAGCAACGTCAAATTTAATTGCTGGACAAACTGAAAGTGTGGGCAGTGATTCAGAGGTCCAGGGCATTACATTACCAGAAAGAAACTACAGTTTTTGGCTGCATCATTTAAATTTTAACTTTATCAGTGAGATAGAACAGCTCTGCCTTCACAAAAATGCTTGCAAAACTTCTGTAAAATTGCACGAAAAAATGTTAAAACTTCTGAGCCATCTTTGTCTTGATCCATCCTCTCCCCATTCCTCATTCTCTTTCACTGTCTCACTTCTTTCTGTCCTGGTCTTGAGACCACACACACAGAATAATCCCTGCTGCCTTCGCTGACAAAAGCCGGAGATAAACTGAAGAGACGACTGCCATGTTTTAACCTGTCATGTTTTAGTTCTGTTCACTTGCTTTAAGTAAACAGTTCTACTCCTCATTAATCCCTAATGGCCTGCAGCACTGGGAAATCTGACAAGCACAAATAGGCAACTGAGGTCACTGACGGCACTTTGTGTTCTGTCTGTAACTTTTTTTGTCTGCATCAAAAGCTTGTTTGTTTTTGTTTTGTTCTCTTTTGCTTCATACACGTCATTACAGCATTCTTTCTTCACCCTTAAAACCCAAAACAACTGACATGCTGAAAACACACTGAGTGTCAAGAGTATCAGAGCTGTATTTCTCAGAAAAGAAACGGAGATGTTAAGAGGGAAGAGTCAGTCATTATGTGTACTAGCTCCCTGTGGTAGAGCCAATACATTTTGTTGAGTCAAATAAGATCACTTAAATCACTGAAAACCAGGTTAATCTCCAGTAATGATAACTCACTCATCTTGGGAATGAATTGCATCACATTTTACAGTATATTTAACACCAATAGACTGCAGTAGATTGTGACGTTAGAGCCGCAGCCAAGGCCTTGCTCTGTCAAATAGCGAGGGATTAATCCAATAAGACACTGTTACAAGGAGTAGGTAATGAAGCAGAAGCAAACATTTTACATTGAAGTGTTGTGGACCTCACAGTAAAGACAGATCAAATTCAGAGCAGTATTTAGCCTAATTCCCAGTAGGCTAGCATTACGGGTTAGGTATCAACTGATTCATTACCATCTCAAGGTCCACTGTCATTGCGCAATCTTGAAAACTCGATTATGGTAATACCAAGTAAACCAAGATCTTTGAATTCCAATTTTCACTGGCAGGGAGAGTCTAATTTAAAATATAGGCCCTATTGTTCTATACATTTTTTGTTAGGTTAAATTATGTTAGAAATAGGCCTGAAGTAGGCTGCAGATTTAATTATTTTCTTTGCAAAAATAAGATTTGATCTTAAAAAAACGTAGTGTTGAAAAAAAGTGTGTTGTTTCATAATCATATATATAATTATTTTGTTTAATCAGGTTAAGAACTGTCTAAGAACGCACTTTGAGAGATTGCGTGCATGCCAAAAGACAGAGAGGGGCGCCCACAGAAACGACTTATGTAGAAGGCCCACGATTTTGTGTGACACCCCTGTGTATGTTTTATCTTAAGAAATATGATAACAGAGCGGAAAGCTCAAATAAAGTGATCTAAGTGTGCAGGTATCAGTTTGGACATTTTGTACTTCCAGCATCTGAGTGAAGATAAGGTTGACCGGTGGTTTTCCTGCATTAGCTTAAAAAAATAAGACATTTTCTGAAATATTTAAATTTTAAAGTAAAACACACCACCACCATCAACTATGGATGTTTTAGGATTTAAATGTCAAACTTGATTATTTTGCAGTAGAATTAAACTATTCTGCTGGGGTGCTCAAATGTCTGTCACTAAGTATATGATGGAATATGAAAGAAAGTCCCGGTCTCTTATTCCAACAGTAGAAGGTGTGGAAACCATGAGGGGGGGAAAGGAAGCTATGGCCTCCTCACGTTCAGACCGGCTTCCCTTTGAACTTTCCTCCGACAGAGGAGGAGCACGCTAGAACAGCAGCACTCTGTTTCCTCTGTGGTCAGCTAGCAGCTTTTGGAACCTCGTGCCACGCAGGGGCCAGCACTTTAGTTTATATTTAAACAAGCAATAATTCCTCCCCACCACTTCCATGGGAGAAAAAAATAAGATCCGGTCTGTAATTCACAGGAAGAGATTTTAGGAAAAGCGAAAAGGCCGAGGCAAAGAGGTTGTTAAAATATAGAAGAGAAGGAGTCTGTTGAAGGGAGCATGAGGGGTGTTGAGTGGTGGATTAAAGGAGCAAACAAACATCATTGTCTCTGTGAGGTCCCAATCCAGAATGAAACCCCACTGCTACTGAAGATCACCCTACCCGCTTTGTTTCATTTAAGATCGAATAGAGTTTTACACACACAGACTTGAGTGAAGGGCAATAGGACAGAAGAAGTAAGGAATAAAATGCAAGTTAAAGCAGATGGCAATGACCGTCAAAAGCCATGCTTACCGTTGGCATGACAAAGTGAGGTCTGTTTTTACACCAACCTCAATTGCAGTGTGTGGCGTATGGTGACAGAAAAAAACACTTTCTTCACGCACAACAGACCTCGTTGCTTACTCGAAGCTCTCTTGTGCAAGGAAGTGGTTTGCAACGACATGTGAAAGAGAAGATATTGTTTTCCAAAGCTCTCCCATGATGCTATTTCAGAAGTTTCATCTCAACATAGTTAGCTGAACCTGTCATTTTAGTCACCAGAAATAAGAACATGTGGTTGTGCAGTGTACGAACAAAGAAAGCTGGAAACGAAGTAATCACAACGAGATTATTTCTTGAGGGGCAGGGGTGTATCGTTTGTCAGTGATAAGAGAAACAATACAAGCTTTCATACTTTGACTCTGTCTCTTTTCAAAACACACAATTATTTCAATAGAGTTGTACATTGTGATCTTGTTAAATATCCATCTGCTGCCTGTGCATATATATATTATACAATACAAGTAGACATATATATATATGTTTGCTTATATTGTAATATTCACAAATGCACATTGGTTCGAACATGTTAGTTAGACCCACTGAGTCTGTAATTTCTACTTTTTTCCATCCTCGGTCTGTTGGTTCTTCTCTTTTTTCATAGAACATTGACATAAACTGCAACTAACAGGACACAGATTTTCTTTAAGGCTAACAAACTAACTATTGTGTGTTATAGTGTTTCCTGTTTTAGTTTGAAAGTCCTCTCTTGTGTCTTAATTGTCTTGTTTTACTTCCTGCCTTTGTTTGTTTCCCGCCTTTGGGATTGATTTTGAATTTCACCTGATGCTCGTCAGCCATAGTGTCACCTGCCGCTCGTTATCTCCCTCTTTTTCTTATGCATGTAGTCTCTGTGCTCACCATGTCTTTTTTTCTGCTCGTCTTCTTTGTCTTCATTGCTACATATACTTTTGTTTATCTGTTTCTGCCTGTGTTTTACTTTGAAGTATTTTCTTTGGATCAGCCCGTCTGAGTCTGCATTTGGGTCCTATCTGCCTGTGCTGCTCCCTGCACCGTGACTCACATAACAATTGCAAATTTTGAGCCTGCTTTGTTCAGAAATATACAAGAAATTGTTCGAATTCAGTCCTAGATAGTTCAAAATCTTAGTAAGGATTATAATCTCTATCATACTGAGGTTTGGTCAATAGCCGTATGTTTCAAACTATGATGCTCAGGTACCCCTCTAGCATAAATTTTGGATGTGTCAGGGACAGCGTGTCAATGTACGCTTATTATATATATTTATATATTGTGTCTTTCCAAAATAAACCTCTGTCTTCACAAAAATTTAAGGCAACTATATCACTTAGGGTTGACGTTAAATTGACTGACTAGTGACTCACGGGACTAACAGTACTAACGAGTCATCATGGCCTTTATTTATATAAAGGACTATTGGATTCATGACCTTGCGTCACTATGTACCTCTCTTGACAGTTTCATCTTTTAGTAAACTGGAATTTTTGCACATGCTTATGATGCCTTTGGAATGTCTAACACCTGCAACAGGACCTGGACAGACATGGTGCCTCGGTGACATCTGTCATCTCAACATGTTATGTGCGGGCTATTCCACAGCTTTGCCTTACATCATTCCATTCACTCGTTTCAATCCTTTCTGTTTATATGTTCTTTAAACTGTTGACAAGTTTGGCAAAAAAGGGAAGAGCTCTTGAGATATGCTGATTGAAAACGTTTTTTCTGCTAAAAAATGTATAGCGTTAAAATCATCCATCATAGATCTAGATTCACTAATTAATTTGACTTAATTCATTACTCCTCCAATACTGGCATCGAGTCATAATATTTGATCCGTGACACTGTGCATGCAATTCATGCCAGCTACTGTAGTTGGTGGTCCTTTTTATTACTTTGTTAGTGAATGTCTTAAACAGGAGCTCTCATCTGCTACTTATAGCTTCATTTACACCATCTTGATGTGTCTCTGAAGGATTGCTTGGCTTCTCTATCTGAAGCCGAGCTTGCAGAGAGCCGCTAATTGGGGGATTGTTGCACCATCTACATTCACAAGCTGTTAATGGCTTCCAGTGCTCGCTGAAAGCCACTGCCAAGGCTTACCTCATAAGAATCATAGCTTCCCTCTATTGTCTGGAAATACAGTTCTGCTCAGAGACAGACCTGTTTGAGTTAGTCTTTATTTGACCGGTCCTTTCTCCACAAGCATTCCTTTCACATTTGTGTCTGCTTATCATAGGTGCCAAATGACCCAAAGATATGGTCCGTGGTTATGAAGGCAGCCTCATTAGAATGAGTCTAATCCGTGGCATGAACACAGCTGTGCATCAGCTGTATTTTTGTAGCCTGTGGTGCAGCCATGTCAAACCACTGGCATCTTATTTTTAAATCTATGCCAAACAGAGTTGAAGTCTGCATTGAGTGCATTGTGCAGATTTACCCTTTCAACAAATCTTATGGTTTTTTCCTGTTTTACACATTTTATTCTGTGTAAAACTACAAATACACTTGCTGGTCTGGTTAGCTTATTAATTGTTTGTCTGTTGTGTCCACTGGTTCCCAACATGGGGGTCACGGCCCCCCAAAGCTTCACAAGGGGGGTCGCAAGGCCTTTTTGATTTTAAGGGGTTGGAAAACGAATAAGATACAGTTGGCTTATACCTCAGCATTTCATTTATTTCTGTGAAGAAAACTAGACTAAACTGTTTTTGTTTTATGATTATTATTAAAGATGTAATCACACAGGATAATGTCACGGTGAAGACCTGAATAGCTATAGTCACAGAGCCTTCCCACTCTGCATGATTGTTAAAAATTCATAAAAGTACATAGTGCAGGCAGAGAGTTGTATTAGAAATCATCTCTAATACGATATTTACAAGTGTTATTCTGCTCCAAATTCAACCTAATCACTCATTTGAAAGAATCTTCCTGCAGTTATTCCTTTTTAACTTTTTGGATTAATTGTACAGTTCATCAGTTGTTCTGTACTGTTATTGTTATCAATTGAAAATAGGGGTTCGTCAGTTGATAGAAAAGGAACCACTGGTGTAGTCGATCTGAAAAGAAGGACTGCATAAATATCTCTCTACATATATATATACAGTATATCTCTGCTGGTTCTGGTGGTTGGTATGATTAAACCCGTTGGAATAAAATTATATAAGCCTCTGGATGGATAACTTTTGTCTAGGTGGTTTTACAGCGCCATAAATATGCAAATGCTTTAAGCATAAGTAACAAATAAGAACCAAAACCACAAATCCTTGCAATGTTGGTGCCAACTTTTCCTCCTCTAGCCCCTATTTCTTACTGAATTCCTTCCTAATTCAGCCCTATAAGTCATCAAAGGGAAGCTACAGATTCCTGGAATAATTTTTTTTTCTTTTCAAATATTTCTGCCTCTCAAGAAGCTTAAAGACGCAGCTGCCAGCAGCCGATGTTTTCAATGCTCCACAAGCTTCTTTTTTTTATTTTTTAGTAAGTGTCACAATGTTGCCTTCTACCTGTCAGTCACAAAAGATTAGAGAGACCAGCGAGCTGACATGTTGGACAAACGTAGAGTCGCAGGACTGAAAGGTTCTACAGATTAGCCTCTTCTCTCTTGGGAAGACCAACACCCCAGGTATCAATCTTCTCTGTGACTGCACGCTGTAGCCTGGAGGCCTGGGAGCTTGAAACGAATACTACTGCCGCCTGCGGGAGCCAAAAGGACAAATGTTGTTATGCAAAGTGGGCAGAGGAGTTGACGGAGATGTGATCACATTTGACAACATAAAAAATTATGCCATCAACTGACATTTACTTCTCAACTGAACCGTGCATTGAACAGTTTGGATACAGTTATTATCATTTGTGTCTTGTTGGAGTGCACATTGTTTCGCAGCCAGAGATTAGAAGTGGAGTCCCAGCCTTATATGCAGGACAAGACTTTAGCTGAGGCAGGTACACACCCAACATTCCTACACTGTTTGTCTTATATCAAGGATGGAACATTATTAATATATATCAAATGCATATTTATTTATAGATACACATTTATGTGTAAGTTTTCTACTTTCCCATCAGTTCACAGAGTCAGCTGGGTGGCAAAGTGTTTGTCCAAAGCCGGTGTGGGAATGATTTGCAAAATACATCGGTGTGTCTGTAATCGTCAGGAGCTTTACACAACTCTTCTTTACATTATCAGCTCTAACATATAGTGCTTGAATTACATTCCAGCTGGCCTGGACAGTCATGGTTTCTGTTTAATTTAACAAAAGTCCAAACCACTGTAGCATTTAATGAGCCCGGATCCAATTTAAACCCAATTTTAACCATGACATACAATGCACCGTAGCAGAGTCAAACTCCCCGTCTTTCTATACCTTAACTTTTTTTTTTTCACACAGTAGAAATAAAGCACATCTTGTCAATGCTGATAAATTTGTTCCTTCTGTGTTGTTTTCCTGTTTAAGTATTCGTAACCAAGAGAGGTCTTAAATGTCACGGAAAGTGTCTGCTCTGTAAGTATCCTGAGGCAGTTTGTGCAATGAGTGGTTTTGGGTGTGGAAGCTAGAATATGTGTCTGTGACACAAGCATTGTATTGCTCTGGCAGAGTTCAAGAAGACTTTCCCAGTGTACAGCTCCATCAAAAAATGAAGCATATGAAAGTGATACATTGTCCTGTTGTAACTTTATAGATAAATACTGTATTTACTGAGTAAATGACCTTTCCTTTCCGTCTCTCTCCATCTCATCTGCTGGTTTTCCCGCAGAGTGTATCAGAAACCGAAGTCCCTGCAGTTCTGCCCCAATCCCAGCATGGTATTGAGGAGTTGTCGGACGCCGTGGCAGGGCTGGGCACCGTGGAGGAGGTCATGAAGTACCTGGAGCCGGAGCGATGGCAGCTGGATATGGAGGAGTTGTACAAACCTACATGGCATCTGCTGGGGAAATCCTTTTTCCACAATAAGAAGGCCAGAGGTAGGACACTTTTAAACTTGTACATTTTAGAAAACAACATGATAATTTACAGTGATCATGAATTTTTAAATTTAAACAGAGCCACTGAATATGAACTCAAACTGTAAAAAGTTTGTTTCGATAGGAAGTCTTTCTGATCATGACTTCTCTGTGTCTTTTTGAGGAGGAGCTGATCTCAATCTGTTGAGGGAGGAAGTTCGACTGTACAGCTGCACTCCACGTAACTTCTCTGTATCCTTGCGTGAGGAGCTGAAGAGGACAGATGCCATTTTCTGGCCAAGCTGCCTACTGGTGAAGCGCTGTGGTGGAAACTGTGCCTGCTGCTCTCACCGCTGCTACGACTGCCAGTGTGTTCCCGCCAGGGTGACGAAGAAATACCATGAGGTAAATATCGATGTGATTATGAAGTGCGAAGAACATGTAACCTGTATAGTCTTTGAATTAATAAAAAATCAAATATTTAAGTTATTATGAAATGAACCAGCAGTAAAAATGATATGGTTAAATATATTTCCTGTGCACCAACCTCAGACAAATGATCAACTATATATAGGAGATAAGTATTCATGACCAAACATTGAATTTGCTGTGCATATCCTATGATCCTATGATTCTATTTCCACCCTTTACAGTATTTCCAATTGTGCACAAGATACAGCATAATGTAATAAACATGACATTTGCTGAGCACATTCATACTTCAATTTGGTGACTTCATGAACCACAATCAGGCTGACCTAACATTTTTAACCACACATCTACTGTGGTAGCAAGGCTCTCAGAAAAGCAATCTTCACACTACACCACAATATACTATAGTACTTTAATGTCTTCGGCGGTTGCATACTTGTCTTCAGATGAAATGTAATGGCAGTCAACTGTACGGCTCAGAAATTGAGAGTGAGCCTTGGTCACTGATATTATACTCTTTAGAAAAATTGGATTTCCGTGCATTGGGTCAGTTATGACTTTTTAGAAACTTTCAAAAATGTATAGGTTAATAAACTGGTATCATTTCTGAATAAAGTACCCACTGAGCATGCTTTACATGAACTGTTTGAGGGGAAGCACAGCTGTTAACTAAAGCCTCCTTCTCTTTGACAGGTTCTGCTGTTGAAACACCGAAGCGGTGTTAGAGGCTTGCAGAAGTCCATGGCGGATGTGCCCTTGGAGCACCATGAGGAGTGTGCCTGTGTGTGCAAAGATGACTTGGACTGACCTCAGACAAGCGTAATACCTGCCACTGGAATCACACAGGATGTTTGAAATTAACGTCTGCCGCTGTTGCAGCGTTCTGTATCTCATCCACTTCGGAGCAAACTAGATCGTCCCTTTATCCTGTTGTCCTTACGCTAATTGGATGAAGCAGAACAGACTGGAATCTAATAAATCTTCTAAATGGATCTGACTGCTGTGAAATAGCAATAGTGTGCTCTGAGTGCATTTTAGAAAGACAAAAATGCACTGGAGAAGATCTGGACTACTACCTATGTGCTCTGAAGACTATTTTCTTGAGCTCACAGATCAGAACATATAGGTATTTTTGCCTCTTCTTTAAGCCAGTGAGGGCTGATAGTGTCATGGAAAATAGGAGCCTCTTTGTTCAAGTACTTTTTTATGTCGAGAGCTGGCTCCAGCTGATTTACTCCCTCTGCTCCTCTTTTATTACCACCAAGGCAAAGAAAGGTGCTTTTTCATCAGCAGTTTTTCTTTGCTCTTGTTTCATTACAGATTTAATCTGCAGCCACGGTAATGCTGAAATGTCTTGCTAATGAGACCTATTATGTGTAAATATGTCATCTACATTCTGTACTATCATGTCTTTTCTACCAAAGATTCTCAAAGAGAAGATACAAGTTGCACATGTAGAATCAGTTGGGTTTTGTTCATTACAACTCTTCATTCTATCTCAAATCTGCTTGCTTCAGGAATGCCTTCTGGAATGCCTCGCATCAAGCAATTCTTGCTACGTTTGGGATTGTTCATAGTCAATATTTATTTGTTTAATGAAAGGGAAACTTAGGTCCAAGATGTCTTGTTTGTTACATGTGTCACTGTACAGTAGTATTAGCCTCCAGTTTTCATTCTTTGCTATTTTACATTGCCATCGTGTCATGGATGTTTTACAATTTTCTGTATGCCAAAGTTATTTATCTCTACCTTTGCAATAACTGTTTGTGTGTATCATTGTACTGAACATCAAAAATAAATGCTTCCATTTTTAATTGGAGGTACAGTACTTAAGCTCAGCAGAGAAGATATAGATGATCCAAAACTATTGCAAACATTTTCCAAAGCAAAAACACCCAATGATGGATATGTGCTTCAAGACATCAATGACAGAAATGATGGTTGTATTTGGAAAAGAAATACTATTGTTTCTAGCATGCTATTAGTGGAAGTTATGTGAGATAAACTCTGAACATTGGTAAATAAAGAAGGTTGAGGGGTTCTCTGTGAAACTAAGGTGGAACGTATTCCTCTGTGGGAGAGCATAACATGATCATATGCATGTTGCATTGAATTATAAATCTGATTTTCTACAAACACAAAAACAGTGAATATCGTAACAGTAACACATTTGCTCTTTATAGCCTAATGTAGTTTACAGGTACTTCATAGAAAATCCACAACAATGCCTCGAAGGTGCTGAATTTAAGAAATCTGAGCATATCTGTGATTGAGGAATTGCCTCCACGCAACATGATGATGGCTGAGCTGGCAGCTACCAACGGCTAAACAACGGCAACAGTGCTAAGAGAGCAAACAGTAATTGGGGGGGAACCAGATTAAACACTAGTGTAAGGGATTACAATTTCCCAAACAGTAATTACATCACAGTATTTACGCTAAGTAATGTTGCTGCGCAAAGAACACAACTTGTTTCTTTATGATAGGTAAGCTGTTATGATCACATGAACTTGCGGCTAGTAAGTATGCATCCTCGCATCACATCGTAAACTCACTTTGAGCTTTTAGGTGAATATCGCCTCGGGCGCATGCTTCACTATGCCCTGGGGGAGAGGAAAAGACTGGTGAGGTTCTACGAGGATGCATAAGATTGCGTTGCCCCCAAGGTTTAAAATTTTGCACCCTAACTTGAAATTGTAATATTAATAGCCAAGTGTTAGGTAGTAGGTGTACGGAGTGTGTGGACATCTCCATGCGCAACTTCTATTTTGGTTCATGTAAGTGCAGCAGCACAACATGCAAAACGACTTGGTGCATATTGATCGGCGGTGTGTCACCAGCCACCAGGTACATTTTTTAAAATGGTATCATCTGCATAGAAATATATCAAAAATGTATGATGTTTCCAATTCAGCGTATCCCACTTAATTAATTATCCAGGTTTGTTCTGATGGTGATATGACTCTTCAATGCTTTAGTTGTATACTATGATCTCAACAAAGGGGCAAGTGCCAATCTTCAACCACTTGACTCTGATTTTGCCTCATCGCATACAGTCACAGATTAATGTAAGCCTTCAGCTCATCTATCACAATGAGCTAAAAAATAACCACCAGGAAGTGTTTTTAAAAAAATCAGGAAACCTTTAGATTGCCAAAGTGTTTTTTCAGTGTGTTGGTGAAGAAGTTGAGACTTGGCACACAAAGTTATCTATTTATGCATGAATGGGTAAACCTGTAAGTTAAAGTTTGTGTGTGAAGATACAATATTCTGAGATAATTACTCCACTTGCTATTATTGCCTGATATTAAAAGTAATAAAAACCTAAAGAGGCAGCACCTCCCCATTAAACCATATATATATATATACACAGTGTATATAAGCTCCTTATCAGACACTGACCAGCGTTGTTCCTTCTCCCCATCGGCCATCAGGTCGCCCAGGAGGAGGTTCTTATTTGTCCATCTCACGCTGCTGTCCTGGCCAATTATTCTGATCTAGTGTGCGCCCTGGCAGGCATGTGCGGTGACGCCAGATGCCACTGCATAAACCCACCGGCTCCCAGTTCCCAGTGTGGTTTTTGTAATATTAAACAGACTGCCTTCCTCAGTGGGTGCAGTGTTTCTTTTCAGAGGAAACCTCACTGCTCTGGCACAAGATGTGACACAGCATGGGAAGTTTGTCTCGTTCATAGTGTGCTTGTGTATGTGTGAGTGTGAGTGTGTGTGTGTAGGTGTGTGCGTGCACAACTCCAATCCTCCACCCCCCACCCCCTGCTCATTGCCTCCTCTGTGAAACCAAGGCAGCCTCAGTCAGACTAAACCACAGCATCATGGTGCAATTTAAATGTCTTTACTTAACACAAGAAACTAGATTTTAATTAATTTAGTCTCTGAGGAAAAATAAACTCTTAACCTGCACCCAACATAGAAGTGTTGGTTAAGATGTGGGCTGAATAGACAACGAAAAGGCAGTGTGAATAGAAAGTCAAGCTTTTCTAACAAGAAATGCAACCTGCACTGTCACTGTGCAGTACATCTCACAGCCAACACACTACGCCAGTGGTTGTTCAGCACAGCAGATGTTGCCAATACAACAAAAAGCACAGAATCTCACTGGTTTGAAGTCTGTCAATGCTTTTGGAGTTTGACTCTTGCTCTGATCAAAGTCTGATGCACAATGACAGTCTTTTTCTGCCTCCTCTTCGCATGAATCATCTCTACAACAGGCGCAACACACTCAGCTCCGACATCTCCTCCTACAAAGACTCAAATCACAAGGCTACCCTCTAATAAATTACAGGTTTCACCTTTCCTCTGCATATCCAACTAGCCAGAAAGACAGAGCCTTCTACACCTCTATACACATCAGTTGACACAATAAATCCAAACTCAACACAAGGCTTCATAGGTGTAAGAGTTGTCCCTGACATTTCTCTTTCAATGAAAGATGTTGAAGTTTCCTTACAGACATGAACAATATATGATTTAAACTGAACACAGTATTCCAGTGTGTGCTCAAAAAACATGTATACACTACATTTGGGAGTGTGACAAAATTAAGAAATTCTGGGGGAGGTGATCAATAAACTCATGAACATTTTTTCCGTGAATGTTCCAGTAAACTCGAATATGATATTGCTACAACAGATCCAACAGATCTCAATTTGGAAATCAAATAATATGCATTTATTAGTTTTGCTGTATTGCAAAATGAATGATAGATATAGAAAAGTGATGCACAGATCAAGAATATAAGAATATTATTTCAAGAATAAATCATTTTGCTAAAAAGAAAGTTGGAAAGGAGGCTGTGACGGTATTCCATCACATACAGTTGTTGTCATAAGACTAGTCAGTGATTTCTGATAGGGAACTTGCAAATGGACGTAGGAGGGCCATCCCCTTTAGATTCAAGTTTGCTCACTTGCTTTTTTTCTGCTTGTTTTGCAGAATATCGAGAATAAACTCCATCTGTCATACTTGTCTATTCCCAAGAGTTAAAAAACCATTCTGGCCTTGTCTCAAATCTCAGCCGCCAGAACTTTATGGTCTTGCAGTTTCCACTTATCTCTGTCATTTCCCATCACTGCAAACTGTTCCTAGACTCTGTTGCTAAATATGCGTTATGCACTACCTCCAAAAATATGAATCTAAATTTACCTTCAAAGAAAACTGACATTTCAATTCACACTCTAACAATCGAGGGATATTGTGACATTTGTATGTCTTTGTATCTAATCTCCAAGTGTTTTCCCTGAAGTGACTTGGAAGTGCTGTTAGCATGCCCCCAATACAACCATGGGTCACAGCTTGCTGCAAGTGCATAGTTAGCTGTGCCTGTATGTAGAATGCTAATATACTAGACATTTTAAGATCAATAAAGCACGGGTAAAGAAACTTTTCTTTCCACAGACAAAACATAATATCTCTATAATGCAAGTTCAAAACTTTACGCACCGCTCGCTTTACTACGTCACTTGCTCTGACCGAATGCAAAAACGTCCATATTCAAGACATCCATGGTTTGCATAAATGTACAAAGCCAACATTTTTCCAGGCAACTGGGCTGCATCTATGCCTGATAAAAAGTAGAAGTGATCTAGAAAATGATTTGTTACACTCCCGTCCTATTTTCCTACAAGTTACATTGTTGCATCTACAAGAGGGAAATCTTGGAAGATTCACTACAGCCTTTACAGAGCCTTCACATTTGCAACCATCCATCTGCTGTACCAGGCAAATGATTATAAATTTCGACATGCGGTCTGGGAATCGATCGCAACTTGAGGTTATTTATAACAGTGCTGGGTCTTGGAGCACTGGCTGATGGGGAAAATATAACAGCTCCATGGAGATGACATCTCCAGCATCCCTAATTGGTTCACAGTATATGGAGGGAAAGGCCAAATTGACGAGTGCATGTTATGTTTTGATAATTATAGGATGCTGCAGTAGCAGTTTTCGGGGAAGCGGCTATTGTTGCTGGGAATGTAAGGTCCTTGACTTTAGTGTAGTATAAATCCTGGGTCAGGAAATCATTTACGCAGCCCAACAGAGGAGAGCTCCACGTTAAATATACTGTAGGTTGAATCATTTGACAGATGTCTCTCATTGCAGCCTTCATCTCCTCATTACGTCTAACGTTTAACCACTCCATGTTACCAAGATGAAAGGTTTTTACTCTGAACTCTATAATGCACTATACATTACACATCCTGCAATAAATCACATACGAAACTGTACAGTACACAGCAATTTTACCAAACAGAGAAACCACAGGCGAAGTAGAGCACTATACATGTATGTATTGAAACTACTAGAAGGTTCAACATTTAAATTCTATTGCAACAATCAACAATTTTTAAAAGGAAAGTCATCAGGTGTAAATTCTATTGACTGAATGACTTGATTGAAGTTGTCCCCTCCCCTGACTTAAATCGCTCAGCAAATGCCATCAGACTGAGACTTTATCCCCGAGCACATCTGGGCCAGTGATAGTGTGTGAGCTGCTTTCACGTCATAGCATATCTCCTACAATCCACGCACACAACATGGTGGCAGTGTTGTAGATTGCCGAGGGAACAGGACTGATGAGCTCTGACAAGCCTCTCACAGCTGACGTTATTAGTCACAGACGTCTGACCCCGCCGACGGCCATAAGGGAAATGCATCTTTAATAGAAAGCGAGGTCAAAAGTCACGGACTCCTGTTTCATCCAGTTAATTGGCAGTGTGTTTTGCTGACCCTGGAGGAACACTTTGTGGGTCTCTGATGATGAATTCAAACGAAGGGGAATACAGCTCGTTCTTTTTTTAGTCTTCGGCTTGCTATTTTAATATTCTGAAGGGCAGAAATAAAAGCATTCAATAAAATTCCA